CGTATACTTAAGTAGATATATTTGACATGGCAAGCTGAACCTTCTCTGCCAAAGATGTGCTTTTATTTGAATACTTAAGGTTAGGAAGATGAGACCACGTAAGTCGGCCTATTCTCACTTGTGATCCATGCTCAAGAGTGTCTGCTTAACAAAAATTTGAGTACCATTTCAACAATTGAATTTAAATTGCAAGAATGAATGTGATGATTCCAATTTGATATCATGCTCATCAATACTACTACTGCATTTTTGATAATTCACCCCATTTCTGATCTTGTGGTTGACAGGTATAGCTTGAGCTACATCCCTTTCGCAAGAGCCATGGTTTCAAAAATCATGGTTGCTTGTTTTGACACTGACTTTTAGGTTATAATCACAACACTCCTACCATTGTTTCCCCCATATTTTTGAAGTTCTGCTCGAAAGGAGGTTTTGTGGAGCTGAAATATACCATGGATGGAGTGAGATTCTTCAAGACTTGACCGGTAGGCATGAAGTCTTGTGGATTTTTATAACCGACAATACTTTGTTTTCTTAGTTATTTGTTGTCAGACTTCTCAAAATAATATATATATATATATATATATATATATATATAACATGTCGACATTTTCCAGTTCGCTGTTGGACACTTCAGAAAAATGTTCTGCTGCTTCTTTTTTTTTTTTTGCGAACGCATATTATATTTTTATTGAAGAATATGATCATAAGCAGTTGTCTTAAAGTTGTTTTCTCGTATAATATTTCAGTGGATCAAAATATGGAAAAAATTTCTTCCAATTTGTCTCCTTTTCTTTTTGGCTTTCTTTATTTTACTTTTCTGATTAGTGTTCATTTATTGAATCCGCATGGTGCACTGGAGAAGGTCACGTCTTGAGGGCTGCGTTGCCTTTGATTTAAAGGTTTACAAGAAAAAGGGATCACCAAAATGACCCATTTTGTAAGTGTTGATTGAGACAATAGAGAAAAAATTGAGATGGTTTGATGCTTGCATTTGATGCATATAAACAAGATATTTGTAATTATATTCTATTTTTTAATTTTAGTTAATGAAAGCTCTTGGACAAGAACTTATTTTTATTTTGTTAATATGGGCAAATTATACCACTAGCATATGCCCAGCACAAGTGAGTCTTCTTAGTTTGCATGCATCTATAAATTATTTATGAGAAAAGGGAATATAAAATATAAGGGGGAAACTGGTATTACTATATTTTTAGGATTCACACAGGACACAGCACATAAATTCTAATTTTTTTTTGTATTTTTTGTGTTCAAATATTTTACACGACCTAAAGATGTGACACTGATCTTTCCACAGCTTGTTTCTTCAATGAAGATCAATCTCACTGTCTCTGCTAGAGAGAATCTATGCTAGAAAGTCTTTTAGTGGAAAATGAACATACATTCTTATATGGGTTACTTAAATAACATAGCTGACCGACATATTACTATTACTTTCTGAAATTTCAATATACTTTTGTTGAAAGAAACAAGATAAAATCAAAGGGAAAATTACTCTCAGGTCTCAAAAAAAAAAAATTGTAATCATCGAAAAGTTTTACTACAAATCAGCAGTATGCAATGAATGAGTCCGATGCAGAAAATAATAATGAATCCATGCAGCATTTGTCAGGGGTCTCCTTCCCAAAATCAAATCCCCGATTAATTGTTGGAAGAATGAGAGATCTTATCACTCATGCTAACTGAATGGGTTTTTCAATTACTACCTCCTGTAGTTATACTTCACTAATTTGAGTAAATTAAAGAAATTAATTAAGTTAGTTATTTATAATAAATATATGTTTTTTTAAAATATCCTTACTAATCAAGCATATTGGCTAGAATTACTATTATTGCAAGGACTTTCTTGAAAAAAAAAATAAATATGAAGAAAAAGTGATTGGAATTTTATATTTAGATCAAAATAAAATCAAAAAAATTTTATATGAAGGACTGGAGGTAATATTAACTTTCAAAGAAAACAATAAATAAATACAAAGATTAGCCACGAAGCAGATTCACCTGCCGCCATAGATGATTGAGTTGTAAGTTATCAATTGCAGTTCGCTTTTTTGCACCACACAAGGATCATGGAAACATCAATTAGTACCTATGATTATCATATATTTTTTTTATTTAAAAATATTCTTAATCACTTTTCTTATAATTGGCATCCAAAGCCCTACCCTTAATGTCTTGCCACGGAGGACATCAAGTTCAATTATGGACTTCAATTTCAAAAGTTGATTTCTTTCTGCGCATTCTCAGTAGGAAAAAACAAGCATCCTTTCTGCGCACATGACCCACCCAAAACAGCAAGTCAATGGAATTTAGGTGTGCGTGGTATCATAATATAGCCTTGACTTGTGTAATGTGCTTAAGCAGAAATAATGTGCTTACTAGTTCACAAAGAAATAATTACCAAGAGGAAGATATAGAAAATGAAGACGTTTAAGTTTTAACTTATTGATATTTAATTAGTAGCATTTTCATCTTTGCAATTATTTAAATTTATATTTGTAACTCACTATTTATCTTTAGTAAAAAATTTCAAGAACTAATATTGTTAAATTGATGTTTTGAAACTTTAGTGTCATCCTTCCTTTAAAAATTTCAAGTTATTAATTGGTTTCTTGAATTAAATAAAGACCGGCTAGATGAATATATATAAGTGATAAATCCAGGACTTAAGGAAGAGTTTATTATTTTGGTAAAAGCTTAAAAATTTTAATACAAGTGATACCGCTTTAAAGGGACAACCAAAAAAAAAATGATAGTGGACTTCAAGGATTGAAGGAATAACACGAGCCAGAAAAAAAAAACGAATAAAAATAAAAATGTTGACAAAGATATATGATCAATTGATCATACAAGAAAAGATAAAATCTGTGATAATTAGATATGAAAAAGATTAGTATGACATCTGTAAAGAGAAAATTATAGAAAATAATTTAAGATGGTGTGGATATATATAAAGAATGCCTCTAGTGGCATCAGTGAAAAAAAAAAGTCAAATAAATTGTTTTAGCCCACGAAGAGATAGAGGGGAAAATCAAGAATAATACTTAAGTTATTGTGGGATCTCTTTGTAAATATGTATTTGAAGAGTTGTTGTTCATATAACAAGATAAAGTGTGATTATATTCATGTATTTGGCCTTATCTAGTGAGAAATAAAACTTCTTGTTATTGTAGTATAAGCATCAAGAACTTGACACATTATATTATATTGATTCAGATAATGAGTTAGATTGTGTTTTGGCAAGAGTTTTTCTTCTGTCAGAAAAGAATTAAAATCTAATTAAAGAGGAAGCTGAATTAGTTGCAAAATACACTGATATAGTGCCCATGAAGATCCTCAAAACTACATTTAATTCACGTTGTTCTCAAGAAAGAAAAGGAACACAGGATACACTATGAACAAATGCAAAAGCCCTTCAAACAGGAAAACCAGTGAAACAGAACAAAAATCAATCCCAAACCAAATCAAAGAAACAGCCAATAAGCTGGAAATTTGCTGCAACTAGCCAGTGGAGCACAAGTTTTTTGCATAAGTATTCTTGTTGTTGTGCATCCACACTCTGAGGACTCTCCTCTTGATTCCTATCTCTTCACAAAACTGCTGCACCACAGATTCTTCAATCTTCTGCGTTTTCCACCCTACCTTCTCTGCAAATTTCACCATCTTCTCCTTCTGTTCTGCACTGAACTTAGTCCTAAACCTTTTCTTCATCATCACCTTCTCATCTTCTGGTTTCCCAACCTCTTTATAATGATTCCTATGATCTTCTTCCCCGGGATCTTTACTACTGTCATGATCATGTGACTGATCAGAAAGATTTGAGCCAGTTTTGTTGGGAGATAATAGAAGATGATCCAGAAAGATGGGGTTGGTGATCTGAGAGGAGTTTGGAAGCGATGGGGTGAGATAATGCTGATCAGAGCTATAAAAGAAAGTATTGGAGGAGGAATTTGAATAACAGTATTGGATCTCCTTTCTGTGGAAGTTTCTGTGGCAACCGCAGGCTGAGCACTTGAAAGCCTCAAGTGAGCCTTCTTCTTCTGAAGAAAGGAACTCACCACACCCATCAATTGCATGCCCGCCTATTGAAGCTGCATGGTTCTTGAGGCATTCCTGGTAACTCACTACTATTATCCTCTTCTGTTCTTTAGGCTCTTCAGTAATGGGTGAAGGAGAAGAAGGGCTTGGCCTTTTGCATTCAACATGACAGTTGCTAGAGTCCATGTTAGGAGACAGAACACAAAATAACAACTTCTATAGCTAGAACAGAAAAATACCTTAAATTATTATTAAGGAAAAAACGGATTTGATCATAGAAATGATTTTGGCTCTGACATGAAACAGAAGAGAACTTTCTAACCGGACTATGATGGATAGAACCTTCTGAGAAAAAACTGGCCACATGAGAGAGAGAGAGAGAGAGAGAGAGAGAGAGTGAGTGAAAGGATGGATAGGAATTTTGCAAGTGAAATAACAAAGGCACTCAATTTATATATAATAGTAAGGAGTGAAAGAGGCATCAGAAACATCATAAAACGGTCACTTCAATTAAAGTTTTTAATAACAAATTAGGAATGTTTAATTGAAATCTGAGATGGGATTAGAGAAAACACAATCTTTCTAATTTGGGTTCAAGACAAAGTTGGCATGAAATAATCCCAAAGTACAACTGTAATGCTTTCCTAACGTAAGATTGAACAAGATTGTTTTCAAAATTAAATATTGGGTTGTAAGTAGATTCTTGTTTCAGTTCCAACATTTATGATATATGGGTATATGTACATGATTTGAAAAAAGTTTTATTAGAGATTAAAAATTGATTTTTATGTAGATCATATCAAATTTAAAAAAAAAAACTGCAGACTGTAGGTCAAACAGTGGACTAACTTTTTTCAAAAAAAAAAATAAAGGAACAAAATTACTACCTCCAGTCCTTAATATAAGGCCTTGTTTGATTTTTATTTTGATCCTAAATATAAGACCCCCAGTCTACTTTGTCTCTCATGTTTATCTAGTTTTTCCCAAGATAGTCATTTTAATAATAGTAGTTCTAACCAATAAACTTGATTAGAAATGATATTTTTGAAAAGACAATATTTATCTATTACAAATAACTAACTTAACCCCTTTTCTTAATCTATTCAAATTAGTCAACTAACTCTTGTATTTAGGACCAGAGGTAGTAAATATTTTTTTGCCAGGAAAAGAAAACCAAAAAGAACGCTCAATGAAGTAATTGAACGAGACCTTCTGCCTAACAATATATCTAATGACATCGTACGATTCATGTAACCGACCTCACTTAGTGGGATGAAGCTTATTGTTATTGTAAAAAAATAGATACTGAAACTCATTCTTATCGTATCATCATCTCTTGGTCAAATCAAATTCTTAGCATGCTATTATATGTTCATAATCAAATTGTTAAATTAATATTTTGAATAAGATGGATTTTAACTTGCTTATTGAAAGAGTTAGAGAGAGGTGTTTTGTATGCAGGACTGAAATGTTAAAAGAAAGAACGTTTAATTAAAAAAAGCGGGGAGTTTATATGCTTGCTTCTTCTTCTTCTTCTTTTTTTAAGACATAAACCTTATAAAATTGATTACTCCAAAAGTGATTACATTAATCATAATCAAACGAAACAAAGAACAGCTGTCATCATGAACCCTTGCTTCGCAACAAGACAATCGATTTATAATTAAAAGTGCGTTGGGAGTCCTAGATTTGGTTGGTAGCCTCAGCCCCACACTTATAAATTGCCATGCCATATTACCACACACACACAGATGTGTGTGTGTTTTTCTTGCCAACCATATTACCACACATATACATATACATATATATTTATATATAAACACATAGAGAGGGAGTGTTAAAATCGTTCTTAGAAATTTTCCCATTGGATGTTCACAGAAGTAATAAAATTGTTGTTGTTCGGTTCATCTAAATATATATATAACGCTCTTGTATATAAAAAAAATAGACCGAAATATATGTTTAATTCTTTAATTTTATACAAGATTTTAACTTATCTTATAGGCATTAAAATACATATATCCATTTAAAAATAATTTCAACTTCCAAAAAAATTAAAAAAAGCAATTTGCGCTCCTCAAAAAGTTACCACCAATTTAGCGGAGCCACGTTAGATTGAAGGATGCCCCACCTTGTGATAAATTATAATTTATAAATAGATGGCGGTAAGTCTTTTGCCTGGTAAAGAAACCCTACCCATAATTTCACAGACTTTACTATAATATTACTTTCATAAAAAATATATATGTCATTATTTTCTTCTTACTTTTAAAATCAAATCCGACTTTTTAACAACCCTTTTTTTTTTAATTATTTGCCTTTTATTTCATGTTCAACACAATTTTAGAACATGAGATCACATAAAGGAGAATTGTAAGGCGTGTAACACACACACACATTATTAAATTTTGATTTTTATTATTAATGATAATAACCTTTTAAATTATTAAAGTAACACAGGTCATGATGAGTTTTCAACTTTGTCCTTCTAAAATCCCAGACAAACTTATAGTTCTGTAAATATTTTAATGCTTGGTGCTTATAAGAACCAAAGTCAACGAAGGTTAGCATGTCTCTAAAAGAAATTGTTAGTGCTATGCTAAATTAAGATTCATTAAAAATATGTTGATTTTTTCACTCAATCACTTGTTGAAAACATTAAAACTTCTAATCTCTTCCCCAGTTGAATTTTTCCCCTTTCAACGATACAAAATATACTATCATACCAAGTTCTGAATATGCCTCTCAACCATAGTATGCTTTTCTTTCTTTTTTATTTTTCAGTTTTAAAGGACATAAAGTATCTATCAAACACAAATCCTATGTGACTATTTAGGTCTGTTTGGGTAGCACCCCAAACCATGGTTTGGGGACCCAAACCATGGTTTGGGGAATAATCTACCCAAACACCCCCTCTTAAAACCAAAACCATGGTTTTGGGTCAAAACCATGGTTTTGACTCCAAAACCATGGTTTTGGAAAAAGCAAAATTTTTTTGCTTTTGGAGAAAGAAGGGAGAGTGTGAGGGCCTATATGATATGTATCTTGTTATTTTTTTTATAAACATATTTTTTTATAAATATATTTAATCTTATATTTTATAAATATATATACACATTAATTATTTATTAATTATATTATCTTATGTATTATTAATTATGTTGGTAAAAAACATATTATTAACAATTTTATTCCTTCAAATTAAAATATATCATAAAATCTATTTTTTCTGTAATTATCATATTAACTTATGTCTTTTTTTTAGTAATTTGTATATATAAAAAGTGCTTCTGATAACAACTATCCAAACACTCTCACTTCTCAGAATCACTTTTTTACAAAATCTATTCTTCACAGAATCTATTTTTCTCAGAATCTATTCTCCAAAATCACTTTTCCAAACCACGGTTTGGTTTCATCCAAACACACCCTTAATAGTACGTGCCTGCGACAATTATTTCCATGAAAATAAATAAGGCCCTCGTTCATTACTAGAGCAATGGAATTTTTATTACTACTTCCGGTTCTTAATATAAAAGCTCGATTAATTTTTATTTTGGTTTTAAATATAAAATTCTAATCCACTTTGTATCTCATATTTATTTATTTTTTTCAAAGTAATACTTATAATAATAATTATTCTAACCAATTTACTTAATTAGTAATGATATTTTAAAAAAAAAAACAACACATATTTATTATTAATAATAAACTTAATTAATTTTTAATTCTTATATTAAAAATCGGAGGTAATATAATAGTTTAAGATTTAAGACGTGATTGAGCGATAGTCATAGAGCGCGCGCGCACACATATATAGCTTGAAAAGAAGTACGTATCTCACCTTTTATATAATTTAATTTGCATCAAGGACTATAGAATACGCGATTAAATTATAATGATAATAATGTACAAATAAGTAGGGACTCTCCAATAATTATTGGATCGTGCAGGGGGTGGTGGAGAGGGGTAGCCCCACAAATGAGTCTTATTTTTATCATTCTTCTTCTTATTTTATACCTTTATCGCAGCTGTACGTCTAGGCCGCCCCAAGAGTTCCGACTCCACAGGTACACCACTTTAGGATCTTGTAAGGAAGAATAATTATTTAGGAGTCAGGGTAATAGAATTCTTTTGGCTCTCTAATTTTCTTCTCATGCAGACAGAATAAAAGGTAAATTATTGACCTTGCAAGATTTCAAAGTGCGGGTGATGACGAGGAGGAGGGAGTATGAGATGCGAAGCTAAAAGAGGCATAAGACATGGTACCGCCACGGATGCTGTCATGAATCACCTGGGCTTTGGCATTGTCGCCGGCAGCGCCCACGGCGACATGCAATGGGAACAAGTGATCTGGCCATGGGTGTGCCATTTTCGCATGTGGTGCCTTCTCTTCGTACTTGTTCACTTCTTCGTATCTGCACATGTATATATATCATCACCTTTTATTCCCTGACAATGGGTTTTCCAAGTTCAATTTTATATGTCGTCCTCCTCTCTTCTCTTCTTTTACCCTTTCCTATTTCAAATTTCAATTCCATATATGAGACATCCTTCTTCAGTCCATTTATTCTGTCTGCCATTCTATATATGTAGATTCGATGGCATCACACACACACACACACACATGTAATTCGTATATTGTATCCTAAGGCTGAATCTCCTCAGCCATATTGGTAGTATTATGTTGTGAGGCTAAGTTATGTTGTGGGAGCAAAGAAAATACAGTACCTGCCGTTAAGAAGAGAGTCTTTCAACCAGGAAATGAATTCAACAGCCCAAGGAACATCGCCCCCGGCGTCCCAGCGAGCTGTTCTCAGGTTATGAGTGGCACTTCCGGACCCAATTATCAGAACTCCTTCTTCCTTCAAGGGAGCCAATGCCTTTCCCATCTCGTAATGAAACGTCCCGTCTCTGTGCCCTGAAACTGACAGTTGGCACACCGGGATGTCTGCCTCAGGGTACATCAACATCAGTGGCACCCACGCGCCATGGTCCAAGCCCCGCGTTCTGTCTTCGTCCACGCGCTCTATCCCCGACGCTTCCAGAAGCTCCTTCACCCTCCTTGCCAGATCTGGAGCCGCCGGTGCCGGATATTTCAGCTGCACGATGTAATTCAGAGATCACGCATAAGGATTGAATTCTTACGTGCTGTTGAGTTAGTTCTTTCAACGAGCAACTTAATCCCCACAGCACGTAGACCTAAGAGCGAGAGAGATCTGAGCTTTGAGAAACTTGGAACGGAAGAAATAGGAACGAACCTTGTACAAGAATTTGGGGAAGCCATAGAAGTCGTAAATGGTGTCGTTGAGAGGGACGACGTTGACGGAGGGGAATTCGGTGTCCCAGTGACCGGAGATTATCAGAATGGCGGAAGGCCTCTGCGGGAACACCTCCGTCTTCCATTTCTGGAGGAATCCTCTGGCCGGAGTCGTCTCGTCGATCAACAGCATCGGCGATCCGTGCGAAATGTAGAACGTCTCCTTGATCGCTTGCATCTTTAATTTCCGCTTAGCTATATTTGTTGGATGATTAATGAATCTGCTTATTAATACTGATTCGTATCTGGGATATCAAACTAATTCAGTTCCTGAGGAAATTAGAATTGAGAAATAGATCCTGATAAGGGTAGGTGAGTACCGCGTAATATCTCCCCAGTCCCCACCTAACAAACCCCAGACAGAGGTATTTCGTTATTTCGTCTTCTCTTTGTCTCAACTAATGCCTATTTTCTTCGGTCAAAAGAAAACTATTGTACTTGTTTTTGAGGTAACTTTGATAGGGTCTATATATATCGCTGTTTAAAAGGTGTTTGGATAACCTCAAACCATGATTTAAAAAATAGCTTTTAGAAAATAGATTTTGAAGAGAACAGATTTTAAAAGAATAGATTTTCTAAAAAAGTGATTTTAATAAAGTAGGAGTATTTGGATAGTTATTATCAGAAGTGTTTTTTTATATGTTAAAATTACTAAAAAGGATATAAATTTAAATGATAATTACATATAACATATTTCATAATATATGTTTATTTGAAACAATAAATTTGTTAATAATATATATTTTGACAACATAATAAATAAGATATAAATAATATAAATAATAAATAATTAATGTGTATATATGTAAAATAATTACATATGTTTTTAGAAAAATAATTTATTTTATCAATAAAAAATATTATTATTTATTAAAGATTTTAAACATGAAATCCCATAATTTTTTTATACAAAATTATTATTTATTAGGCTGCCAGCCCCCAGCCACAGCCCCGGCAAAAGTCACTCTCCAATAAAAAAAATATTATTATTTATTACTCCTCATAAGCTCCCCGCGTGATGCTTCAGTGAAACCAAGGTTTGCAAGCTCACAACGATAGTTTTGCTAAAAACCATGGTTTAAAAAAAAAAAAAAAAGGTGTTTGGTAAATGTTTTCCCAAACTATGATTTGGAAAATCAAACCATAGTTTAAAAAAAAAGCCAAACACCACCATAATCTAGTGGATTAATTTAAATAAATTAAAAAAAATTAGTTAAATTAATTATTTATAATAATTATATGTTTTTTTCTAAATATTTTTACTAATAAAATATATTAACTATAGTTATTATTATTATAAAAATTATTTTAAAAAATAAACAAATATTAAAAAACAGATGACATCTTGGCAAAACGAGCACTGAATACTCTTATTGGCCTTCAAGTTTAGCGTGCTTTTTTTTTTGTTGGGAATCGTCAGCGTCCGCACCTGTCGCCCAATTTTGTCTTCCTCTCTCTTTTCTTTTCCGGTTGTATAATTTATACTACTTTCGATTCTCAATATAATATTCTATTTAATTTTTATTTTAGTTCTAAATATAAAATTTAAATTTATTTTGTTTTTTATAATTATTTTTTTTAAAGTAGCCTTTCTAATAATGATAGTTCTAATCAATACACTTGATTAGTAAGGATATTTTAAGAAAAACAATACCTATTTAGGACAAATAACTAACTCAATTTATTTCCTTAATCTCTTTAAATTAATCAATTGGCTTTTATAATTAAGACCGGAAGTAATATATATATAGATTGGGTGTTATATTTAAAATTAAAATAAAAATCAAACAAATTTTTATAGCAAGGAGAAGGGGTGATAGTATGATTCACAATTCAAGGTTGAAGCTGTGAAAAAAGGACGGTTGAAGGTTTGTTATCTTCCACTTTTGAGTCTGAGCGCTCCTATTGAGAGGGGCAAATAACCTGATAATATAATTTAGAAAAAAATATTAAATGCGGATAATAATATTTAAAAAAAAAAAAAAACTTCTCCTTAGTTTTTTTTCTTTTTTTGACCCGCAACTTCTCCTTAGTTGGCCGCATGAGATATGACATCAGAAGAAAGAAGGACTAGGTATTACTATATCCCATTTTCAAAGTTTTGGCATTTGACCTCTTCCACCGCTTAGACATTACTTAATTAATCATAAATATATATATATATATATATATATATATATGCACACACACACACCTGTGTGTGTGCATATACTTCCTTATTTTCTTTTAGAAAAAGTATATACTCCTCCAGTCCTTAATATAGGACCTAATTGTTGAGTTGATTTTAGTTCTAAATATAAGACTCATTTCTCATATTTATCAATATTCTTTAAATTACCCTATGGATACTCCCTCAACCATAATCAAATAGAAGAGGAGGAGGGGTATTAAAAAAGATGATTATGGTATTTTAGAAAAAACGTGTCACATTTCCTATAATTAACTAACTTACCTAACTTCCTTAATCTAATCAAATTAGTTAAATGGGTCTTATATTAAGGATCAGAGGAGTACTTCCTTCGTATCCAACACTTGTCCTTGTAAGAATCAACAAGAATAAGGCCTGCTTTGGTTTTTTTTTTCAAAAAAAAAAGAATAAGGCCTGTCAAAAAATAATTATGAGAATAAGGCTTATCACCAGAAAAATAAAACAACAACGAGACTTATGTTTGTATTCTGGGGCTGTCGTTGTCTTTGGAATTTTGGGCTGTCTTCATTGACATTATTATTTTGAAGTCATGCTTCGATACTAATCTAGATCTAGATATGTAGTGTAGATGTGCAATAACCATTTTAGTTTAAAAAATAACAACTTTTAATTATGGAAAATGACAATAAAACCTTAAACAATGATCGTTTTAATTAAATTGTCCAGTTAAAGAAGACAATACTAAAATGTGAAAAGGAAAACTGCCGAATTACAGATGAATTTTTTTTTTTGGCCCAGCCTTATAAGATACTCCCACTAGTCTTAAATAAGTTTCAAATAACTAATTTAAGAATAACAAATAATTAGTTAAAATTGGTTAAAAGCAAATATATTAGAAATATAATGTTGTTTTCAAATATGCCCTAATAATAAATAAAAAAGAAGGATAAAAGAAAATGGGTGAAGAAATATGATAAAAGAGAGTACAACGAATGAGATAGAATAAATAATTTGAGGATAAAATTAAAAAAATACATTAAATGATACTCCTCTAGTCTTATATGTAAGACCCTTATACTAGTGTGTATAAGGGTCTTATATTTAGGACTGGAGGAGTAAGATAAACATAAATTGAAACTTATAAAATTAACCACATACTTTCTCAAATTTGAAAGTTATATATATACTCCTCCGGTCTTTATTATAAGATCCAATTTGACTTTTTATTTGGTCCTAATTATAAGACCCAATCCATTTTGTCTCTTATATTTATACATTTTTTTCCAAGATAATCCTTCTAATAATGATAGTTTTAGCCAATATACTTAATTAGCAAGGATATTTTAGGAATAACAACAATTATTTATTATAAATAACCAACTTAACTTACTTCCTTAATCTCCTCAAATAAGTCAATTGGGTCTTATAATTAGGACCGGAGGAGTATATATATAAGATCAAAAGGAGTAAGATGTACACTTAATTTATTCTTTTGAAAGGATGCAAAAATAGATATACACTTAAAAGTGGAGCAATTTTGCCTCTGTTGTTAAGTACCCGGAGCACCGTTTACTTTTTTTTGATTTGGTTGGCCCTAAATTTGTCCGCATTTCATCTTCTTTTTCTTTCCTCCTTTCTCTTGCCAACCGTCATCCTTTCTCTGTCATTTCTTCATTCTTCTCTTTCTCGCCACACACTTGTATCCTTCTCCCTTAGACCCTCGTCCTTCCCTCCCCTTTGTATTCCTCTCTAACACTTCTTCTTCTTCTTTCCCATTTTTCTCTCTCCGGTATCCTCCACATTCAAACTCCGAAGTTCGACCCCGTCAAATGAAAGCGTCCACGTTTGAAGAGTCAGCCTCCACGGTAGCTACCTCGGTGTCGCCAAACCAACCACTGCCACTGCTGATTTCATCGTCATCTTCTCTGCTCTGGCCTCTGGCCCGGTCAAGGAGTAATCTCTAGAACACTAACCAGCATGACCAACTTGGCCAACCTGCTTCTGCAAGCAAAGATAGTAACACGGGACAATCCGCCGTTACGAGTTGACATGTGATGGGTTAGGATTAAACAGTACAAATTCAAAAAACTCATATAGTGCCTGTTTGGCATTAATTATTTTGAGCTTATAAGTAGCTTATAAGCACTATAAGCCCGATTGACACAATGATGTTATTTAGATGGGTTTTTCTGCAATTAGGTTTTTGTATGAAAAGCTATAATAAACTATAAACTAAAATTAACAGTTTATGACTTATAACTTATAACTTATAGCTTTTAAAATATAGAGAGAGAAAAAGTTAAGAAATTTATTACCTCTTTTGGTTCTTATTATAAGTCTCAAATAACTAATTTGTAGATAACAAAAAATTAGTTAAAATTAGTTGAAAGTAATGAATAAATTAGAAATATGCTTTTGTTTTTAAATATGCTCCTAGAAATATACTTTTATTTTTTCATGTTTCACTTTATATTTAAAATATCTTTTATGATTTTTTTTAAAGTTTTAAAATTTAATTTACTCATTAAATTTGACTTCTTCATATTAAATTATTTTAATTTCATTGTATTATGTGAAATTATTTCTTTTATCATGTTTTATTATTTATTAAAACTCATGCCCATTTTAGTCATTTTACAACTAAACTTACTTTTACTCAATCATAATCTAGACAACCTTTTATCAATTTCACTTTTACAAACTAGCTTTTTTGAATTCCAATCCAAACACAATTCAATTTATCCAATTTAGCTTTTACCCAACTTCACTTCTCCATAAGCTACTTTTTCAAGAAATTACTTTTCTAATCGCTGATTCAAACGGACCCATAATGATTTTAACCTATCGGGATGGGTTAGGACTATGCCCAACTATTATTTTAAAAAAATTGATATTTTTCACACAATAAAATTTTTATTATTTTTTTTAATACTTAATTCAAAACACTAAATAAATAGCTTGCACGGGGCATCTTTGAGTGTGTCACCAATCTCTTGATACTGTGACAGACTTGCAATGATAAAAAAAAGGAGAGGAAGAAAATGACGAGTGGAGAGATGAAGGGTAGGGATAGAGGGAGTTTGGAAGAAAGAGAGAGAAGTGATGAAAAGGAAGAGGATTGATGAGAAGAGGGGCGGAGTAATGCAGGGGGAAAAAA